AAGCTTATGAGTTGATATGAAAAATGATTAGTCTTTTCCTTGATATTCTTGTATTTCATTCATATTTAGATGAAACTCTTTTATTTCATATATTTAAAAATCAAATTTTATCACTTGTTATTCACGTGAATCAAAATGGTTATAGAAGTGACAAAGAAGAAATGAATACATTTATATTTACACATATCATTACTATGTTTATCAATTTAAAATATTTAAATTTTGCTCCATCTTCAATTTCATATCAAGAATTATCATTTTATTATTCACCTCCACATATTTTCTCGTCAAATCTGTTAGAATTGCATGTCAGTTTGGGGAATTACACTGATTGTCTTTATTTACTTGATGGACGTTTCCATCAACTTCATACACTTCATGTGAATATTGCTACCTTTAGTTCACATTTAGAAATTGATAATAGAGTAGATTATTTTATTTAATATCTAATTGAAACGAGTCAATAATATTATTTTTAGGAAAATCTTTCTAATCTAAGATGCTTTGTGCTATGTTGTGATATGGTTCTAAATGCATTTGATGGAATAATTGTACTATTTCTACATCGAATGTCGAATTTAGAAGAACTCACTTTGAATTTTTCAATCGTTGGCAGAAGAACATTTATTGATGGAAACAATTCGAAAGATATTATCAATCATATGTCATAATTGAAGAAATTTACATTTAATATTTATTCAAACATTTGTCTAAAAAATCAAATTGATTTGCCATCAAATGAAAATATACAAAACACATTCTGAAATTTTAAATTGAATCAAATTATTTCTTGTGTTGATTATTATTTAGAGGCAGCAGAAGGTCAATGTCTTATTTATTCATCTCCATATACATTGAAAGAATACAATATGATAACCAATAATTTTCAAGGTGGATTATTTGAATGTGTTCGTGAAATATCCTTATTTGATGAACAACCTTTTGAACATGAATTTTTTCTTCTTATTGCTCAATCATTTCTATTGATCAAAAAATTAACTTTAAATAATCAAAAACCACGAAAGAATAAACAATACACAAAATCAAAAGATGATGAACAAGATTTCTCAATCATTAAATATTCTCATCTTATTTATCTTAATCTATATGAAGCTCATGAGGATTATATCGAACTATTCTTAGATCATACTAAAACATATTTACCAAGCAATATGGATCTTGCTATCGATTATGAACTACTAAAAAAAGCTACAC